GGGAATGAGTGAGCGATAAAAGACGGACCCAGGTAGCTGACTTCGATGCAAGTAATGACAAATTTATTTACAGTGCAAGAAACTATTTAGCAAAGCTCATCATTGAAGAATGATGGGAGGCAACCGGGTGTCGATCTGTGGCAGAGGATAACAGTCAGTGGTGAGATGGATGGGTGTAGACCGGGCTGCGGACGCTGGGGTCACCCCTGAACTGGTCGTGGTTGAAGTGATGATGGCTGAGAAGATAGGAGTGCATATAGACAGTTAATGAAGACTGTGCATCGACCTGTATGGTGGGGACTGGCAGGGTTGAGTAGTTCCAGGGTCCAGAGGAGAGGTCTGTAGCGGAAGAGAGTATGGCATGAGCACAGACGAAGCACAGCCGAGAGGCTGAAGAGACAATAGTGGTGGCAGGAGCTAGGAGAAAAAAACGTAAAGACTACGAGATAACAACTGGAAAACTGGACAATAACTACGTGCAAAAAGGCCTGAGAATTGTGATTGAACTGGCAAGCGAGTGGAAGGTGAGCGGGGTATAAGTAGAGAAAAACTAATTAGGTGCAGCTAGTGATAATCATGCGATGTGGAGCAGGTATGTCAGACAGTGTAATCAGGGCTAAAAGGAGTGAAACAGTGAGGGAGGTGAGAGAGGCAGGTGAAGCCAGGCAAACCTGGCAGGACCCCCCCACCCCAAGGATGGATACCAGACAGCCAAAAAAACCACCAACCCCGGGAGGGAGGCAGGGGCCACTGGAAGGAGGGCATCACCGGGGCCCCCCAGGTTTGTCTGGGTGAGCGCTGTAGAAGGTGGTGAGCAAAGTGGGATTGAGGATAAACTCGACTCAACTCAACTCAACTTTATTTATATAGCGCTTTACCACAGCACAACTGACCAAAGCGCTTATTAACATATCATACAAATCTAAAATCAACACATAAAAAACTATAAACAATAAAATAAACACTAACACTACAGACAGAGTCTCATTCCTGGCCAAACGCCAATGAATACAAGTAGGTCTTCAAATAAGACTTAAAAGTAGACAGCGAGGGAGCCTGCCTAATATAAAGCGGTTCCACAGGTTTGGACCCACCACAGCGAAGGCTCTATCCCCTCTCATTTTACGCCTAGCCCTTGGTGCCTCCAGAAGAAGCTGATCAGCTGATCTGAGGCACTGCGACGGATTATACGGACACAAAAGTTCCACAAGATAAGATGGTGCCAGCCCATTTAAGGATTTATAAACAAATAAAAGAATCTTAAAACGAACCCTAAAA